TGAAGGGAGATTCGTATCGTCTTAACATCAAGAATGCGTTGCGGGATAGAAAATAAGAAGACGGAACCCATGTTTTCTGAAATAACCGAAGTAAAATCAAATATTTCTTCAATTAAATTTAAAACATATTTATTACATATTATTACAAAACAGTAATGATGTTTATCATTTTATGTTAAATATGAAAGGTTACAAAATATATATCTAAATATTGATAATTTGTTGTTACAAAATAAAATAACAAATAATAAAACATATTATTGAATTAAAAGTTATTAAGAATAGTTGTGACACTTTATTTGCACTTAATCTTGAGCGTTTTTCATAAATTGATCCTGCCTTCTTTAGAAAATATCCTCTCATCATCTGGTTTAACAATTGTCTCCGATGAAAATCACTGAACAAGTAGGTAGTAATATTTTACCAGTTCGGAACTTTGAATCGTGCAATACAATGCAAATGGGCATCATCTGGGCAGCATCTGGACTACAGACGGAGAGTAAGACATAGGGAATCGGTACCAGGATTCTATCGATACGATTTAATTTAATTTAATCTTTTCTTGATACGAATTTGCGTCCACAATCAATCAGGCGATTTAAAATAGGTCCAACAGTTTTTCAAAAACTTTATTGTAGTGAATCTTAGGCACAATTTTGTTGCACAACATCGATTGTTAGTTCTTAAAACAATATTTAACAGTGCACGGCAGCGTGCAATCTCATTTCAATGATAAATACTCGGTCGTTTGAAGATGATTTTCAAAAGTTTGTAATACATTTTTCTGCAAATTGATGGACGATCTTAATTTTTTTGCACTTAAACTGCTTTAGTGTGTATAATTGTGTGTGTACTTTAATTGTAAATTTAAAAGAAGGCGAAACTCGAACAGGAATTTAGTACATGAGCACCCTTTACCTAGTATTTGTAGTATCTGCAGCTTCTCCCTTGATAATTTGTTGATTCATTGTTATCAGCGTTATAAAATAAACTGCACCGAACGCACTAATATCACACTCAATAATTGATAAATCAAAATCACTGTCAGTTTAATAACGCAATGTGTATTTGAAAAGTTTATTAGACCTACAGATGCACCCGCACTAAGAGAAAAATGTCGAATTCAAAGTCGGAGCCGCCGTTACGGCTCNGACCGAGAAAAATCGGTTCACCCTCCCATAAAAAGTTATCACTTCAAAAATATAAAAAAGACGAATTATCAGAGCGAATTTTCATAAACTGTATTATCCTACTATTGTTACACAATTTATTAACATACTTTTTTTTAGGTTCATTTAGGTTCTTTTGATAACGATAGCAGAAAATAGCAATCGAAACGTCAAGGTAATTTTTCAAATTAATTTCTTTACTAATTGGAATTTTCTCTTACAGCCTAAGTGTGTAGCAAGGATACCCGCTAGGTGATAGTTCTTGATTACTTTTTGATAAATAATGCGTTCTTATTGCGAAATAGGAGCACTATTTATCAATCTGTAATAAAAGACGTGAGGAAATTCTGTCTTTTTTGAAGACAAACATTTTTGAGGCGAAATACCCAACAAGAAGTTTGTAAAAACAAAAATACTAGTGTTATAGCGAATTTCATTCAGCATTTGTTTACAACATAATAACATTTAAAAATGTTTACAGGAATATTTTTGTAACATTTATTTCGTTTTTCTACCAAAAGTAGATAAAATATCGTATAATATTTGTATAGTAAATTCTTGTAAGTAAAATATTGCGACACTCAAGCTATCATTATTATTATCATCAAACTCTGTTAGCTCCATGTCTGACAAAAACATGTATTAATCCTATTATAAGTGCTTACTTAATATGAATCTGCAAACGCTTATTATACGAGTATGTTAAATAAAATTAACTAACAAATAATTCGCATTATATTCGGCCAATGAAGAAAACAAAATATTTTGTAAAACAGATGTATTATATACAACTCTTACAAATAAAAGTATAAATATCTCCAGCCCGTTCTGTAAAATTTTCCGCCGGCTTTCCCCCAAGCGGAAAATAAAGCTGGCGCCGCTACCACGCAGCCAATCTCTGTAATCTGTGGTAGCGACCATAGAACAGTACGCAGTTCTGACCCAGTAGGATAGCGATCTGAGCGTTTAGTGTACAAGTTAAATATTTATTAATTGCTGTTTGTTTAGCTGAATGTGGCCTGAATTTATCAATGTAAGTGCGCAGGAATTAAAAATAGGAGGTTTGGCCATAGTAATAAAAGCATGGAAACAGACTTGCTTAATTATAAATTGAAATTGCTTACTATAAGCAAATTTTAAGGGAACAGAAATATAGGATTTCAGATAACATGAAGTAAAAAAGTACCCGGAGAGTAATGTAAAATGTCAAGTTCAGTTTAGCGGATATTTATTAGGAAGTTACAATATTATATTTTCATTCCTATACTTTATTCTATGTCTTCCTATAAAGTAAAGTCAAGCAAAAAGTGTCTATTACAAACTTACCGTTAAATAAAAAATGTGAGAAGCACTTAAAGCTGTAATGAAAGCACACACGAATCTTAATATAAAAAATATTAATTAAAAAATAGTTAGGTTGGGATACCGAAAACGGTTAGCATCGCGTAAATGGAGCAATCGTGCGAAGGCGTGAAGTTTGCTGCAAACATATTTGTAATGCCACGTTGCCACTGGAGCTATAGTACTTGCAATGTTGCTGCTGTTGTTTATTTCATATAATATTTTTTATATGATGCCTTTTTTGCGGGCAAACTAGTGGTCTTAGGTAAAAACAATGAGAGATAAAAAAGCTGGTAAATAGCTGGTAGTAATTAACAAAATTATGTCGAGAAAAGTTTAAGTGCACACAAAAAGTTCGGAACAAAACAAAAGCAGGGTTTCTACATTTTTACCCTTTATAAAAGCAAATTGAACCACGAAACACTGTCATCAAATTGCACTCAATTAGCTTATTATGTGCACAAAAATCGAAGTTTATATGTTTAACCGTTTTAAAGAAAAACAACAAGAACTAATATTTTTCGCCATTTTGGAGATCAAATATCTCAAAAATGAGACCTCAAATTAAAAAAAATTCTCAGCAAGACCCCCCTCTAGAATGACTAGGAGAACACGCTGTTAAAATATTTTAACATATTTACGGAACATCCTGTATAATTATTATCACGTATTATAGATATTTTCATAAAATGGTTTGGAATGTTAATGTTAAAATATGTCGTATTTGTCTTACTGGAGGTACGTGAGTATACTGTTAAAAAAATCTGGTTGAATTTTCAGTCAAATGTAATTGAAGTTTTTTTCACATACGTAACTGAAAACTCAGATACCTGTTATTGAAAATTCAGAAACCAGTTGTCCCAACGGCTATGTTGCCGTTGTTATATTTAATGCCAAAATAATTATTTTCTTTCCTTATCTAATCCATTGAGGAAAAACCACACATAGTGTTGAGTTAATAATAACGACAACGCTGCTTGTTGCAATCGTTTCTGTGCGTTAACCTTACTTTGACGATTTTTGATTGTTCTCAATATAAATTTTATTTTATATTTCACAGTTTTGCGATCTGTGGTTTGATAGCGAATGCTTGATTTGTTTATTGTTGCTTGATTGTGGTTTAAGTTCTTAGTCTGCAGCTTGTTCTTAGTTTGTAGAGTGTTCTTAGTTGGTGGGTTCTATACGATTTATTCCTCGCTTGATAACCAAAATGAAGTGCCTCATTTGTGGATTAGATGCAGATGATGTTCAAAAAATGCATCGTTTTCCATCTAATCTGGAAAAGTACGTATCTACGTATCTTCAGAAACAAGTCTTCAAGACTTGTCTCTGGTACCTTCTTACTATAGTCTATAGTATTTGCTGTTATCCACTAAATGTATGGTTATTTTATGGGCTCTAATTCCATTGTTAATTTT